AAAATCCCAATGTTAGTCAAAATCTAATATCCAACAGTACTAACATTAGTCAATCAAGTATTTCCAGAATTATCAAAAAGCACCACTTTTATCCTTATAAAATTCAGCTTTACCAAGAACTTTATGGAAATTATTTTGAAAACCGAACTGAGTTTTGCATGTGGGTGTTAGATAAAGTGGCAGAAAATGAAAAAAAATGTGTTATTTAGTGATGAATGTACTTTTCATAACAATGGTCTCGTGAGTAGACACAAGAGTAACTTTCATTATTATTCTGATACAAATCCGCGCACATACAGGGTCATGAAAAATCAAAATAGGTGGTCAGTTAATGTGTGGGGTGGAATACTGGGCCAACATTTAATTGGACCCTATTTTTTTGAAGGACATCTAATTGGTTTGACGTTTCTCCAGTTTCTAATAAACCAACTCTCAATATTATTAGAAGAAGTCCTTTCAATATTAGAACCAACATGTGGTTTCAATTGGATGGAGCTCCGCCTCATTAGCACTGCGAAGTTCGGCAATTTTTAAATGCCAACTTTCAAAACAGGTGGATTGGCAGGAATGGGTTTCAAAATTGGCCCCCCAGATCTCCGGACTTAACTCCACTAGATTTCTTTTTGTGGGGGTACATAAAAGGAATTGTCTAATATACGCTTCCGACCACTTCACGCGATCTGAAAACACGCATAAGAGACGCTTTTAAAACTGTAACTCCGCAAATGTTGTCCAGAGTTAGCAGTGGTTTTGAAAAAAGAATTTACAGGAAAGTGCCTGAAAATGGACGGTCAACATTTCGAACATTTGTTATAAATAATTTGCCTTTGGTTTATGTTATTGTTGATATGTTATTTAAATTTTTAATTTAAAAAAACACCAAATGGTGCACAGAACCATTTTTTGGTTTATTTTGTAAAAAGGTAAAAACTTAGTTATCAACATCCTAGTACCATTCGATATGTAATTAAAAATTGCATTTCCTGGTAAGCTAAAAAATATGGGGTTGTATTTAAATTAATCAAGTAATAGCTACTTAAAGTTCTTATTTGATTAGTTAAAATTTGTGGACACCCTGTATAAAATGGTAAGTTTATTATCATTGGGATATAAAATATGATTTCTAGTTACATTACACTACGAATTACGTTTACATAACTTAAATAATTCTAAAGAATTTGACACATGAAAATAATATTAGATTTTGATAAAATTCGAATTATTTAAAAAACCTTTA